GAAGGGGTTGCAGCCATCGGCTGCGGGGGGCGACGAGACCGACGAGGGGGAGGACGACTTGGAAGGCGCCTTGGAACGGTTCGAGTGGTACCGCAGGCTATTCGACTTCTCAGAGGATATTCCTCCGCCGGACAGCGCGGGTTACGGCGCCGATGAGGACCCCGACCAGAACCTTGTGCCTCAGGTAAAGCGTTTGCGCCAGCTCTGCGGCTAGCGGTGTGGGTTGCGGCGTTGTTGGCGAATGTCGCCCTTCTTCGGTAGAGCGGTCGTCGTGTGGGTTAGGCTCTTTCGTCGATTGATGGTGGTACGAAATTGTTCAGATAAGACTGGCAGTCAGCGCCAGGTCCCATTGATGAGCAAGGACCTCCGTGCGGTGTCTTGTTCGCCCGCGTGGGAGACACCGAACGAAGAGTATGCGCGGTTACGAGGGGAGAAATCATGAAAAATGCAATGTCTGCCCATTCCAGCACCAGCTGTAGTTCGCTCAGTTCCATGCTCCGCTCGGGCATGATCGCCAGAACATGCCGTAACAACAGTGACGCATGGCTTGATGGGGGACACTGCATCGTCGGGCATGTTACGAGGGGCAACGGCGGTGTTCTATGATGTTATTGGTGTCTTCGGCAGGGCGTGCGGTTGGTGGGCGAGTACGAGTGGTGTGTTTGGAGGTGTTAAGTGGAGAGCTTGACCTGTGAACGAATGACGTATGGCTATCAACACTCCCGTTTTGAACCCTTCCCGCTGATGCACCGTTGTCCGTCCTCATCTTGGGGATTCCAACTGCACCCCCTTCCAGCTGGTGGAAAAAGTGGCGCTCCCCCTGGTGGCAGAACGACTGTCCACGGCGTACGACGCCATGTCACGGCGACAGACGGCTTGCCTAGTCTCGGCCGTTTCGGAGATCCTGATTTACGATCCCACGGAGGAGTCGCTCAAGACCCTGCTAGGCTCGGCTATGCGAGCTTTGCAGGTAAAGTGCTCGCTGCTCTTTTTCGGGCAGAACCGGGTGTTGAGCTTGATTTTCTCCTTGTTTGGCTGTTCATTCGCTGCTTGGCAAGGGCCTCAGCGTTGGGCGCTTCGTCGAACGACTGGGGCTTGGGAATAACAAAAGGTGTGCCCTACTATTTCAGGCTGATTTACGTTGTTGTTGTCTGTAGTTTACGATACCTCCTGTTCGGCATCCGGAGGCGGGGGGAATGAGTTTCCCATGCTTTCCTCCGGAACCAATTTGCTTGATGGGCTGGATTTTCTCGCTCGTGGTGTCAACTTTTTTCTGAGGCGCACATCACCACTCCCCTTGAAACAGCGCACCAATGCAGCATGTACAGCAGATGGACGGGTTGTCTTTAGGACAGCCATCAAGGGAAAACCGGGCGCGTTTTCCGAACCCCCATTCCGGTTCCTCGAGAAGTTTTAGCTGCTGTAGTGTACAGTGTTGTTTCATGGCTCGTGTTGCTTACGTCACTTGGGATTCACACGCACCTGCAGAGAAGACATTGTTTCCCTACGTCCCTACGGTGGAGATTACGCTGAACCAGCACCCGAACCTCCCTCCGCTCGTATCTCCTCCCTCTCCCGATTCAGGCGGCCGTGCAAGGCGTCTGCATTCCGCTGATCGGCGCGTCATCGACCCCGGGCGGCCGAGCGGCTGCGGTTCGCCTGGTCCGCATCCAAGCCTCCAGGGGCTTAAAGCTCCTCCGGAACTGCTTGGCCTGGCGCGACCTCCTGTCCCCCGAGTCCCTCGTCCCACTCGCCCTGGGCGATCTTGTCGCCAAGAGGCTGGTCCCGGCGTTGAGGGAGTTGGGCGCGCGCGGGAATGCGAGCGGCACCGCGGCCGGGATCTCGAACAGCGCAGGACATAAGGGAGCTGCGGCCATGGGGGCGGGCTGGAGCGAAGCTCTCGCCCTGTGCGAGCGCGCGGTGGAACTGCTGCCGCTTGACTGGATGGAGCGGACGAACGCCTCGGCGCCGCTGGCGTCCGTCAGAATAACGGCGAGGTTGTTCGGAGACGGGTTGGGGTCGGGAGGAGTTGGAGGGGGCAAGGGGAGGGCGGCAGCGGTGGCGGCGGTTGAGAGAGTTGTGAGGTTGCAGGTGGCGTTGGGAGACGATACCGCAGCGAAGGACCTCGCGCAGCGTTTCGGGCTCAAGATCGCGTAGTTCGCTCCCGGAGGCGCTCGCCGTTTCTTCAGTTTTTGATCGTGTGTGCCTTTGGACGCTGCCTTAACACTGGTGGAGGGTGGTTCCTTTCTCGGAGTTGTGGTTGGGGTTAGGTCCATGTGGTGGTCCGGACAGCGAGGTGATGGCTTGCATCTGGCATGGACGCCGCGTATGTATTCGGTTACCCGCCAGGCAGCTGATTTGGTTGTGACAGAGGAAAGCATATGATTGTCGAGCAGTGACCACGTCAAGATACGTCACATGTCGCGCCGAATGATGGTGGGCTTTGCACGCCCAGTCGTCGTCATCAGGATACATAGGTTTACCGTACATCCGCGTGCTTATTTTTTTATTGGCAAACCGTAAGCCGGTCGACGAAAATATCTCCGTTTCACAGCATGAATGTAGGCTGTGTCAGTGCCACCGAAACAGGGGTGGGGCAAACTCACGAGGAAACCCCATCACTACAGCACTGGCAATGCGACGATACTGCGATGGTTTAGCGCCGAAGCCCTGGAACCACTCGCGGCAGAAATTCAACATCACCCGCCGGATTTTTCTTCCCGGGGTTGTCACACCACTGTGCGATGACCCCGATACCTATTCGACAGTTGAGTGAAGTATTATTGTTCCCGCACCTGCGCAAGGACTCACTCTCATGTGCGCGATAGCTCCGATCTGTGCGATGACCCAACCCTACGGTATACTCATTCATAAGCTGATTTCGGAAGAACGGTATGCAATCAATGTTTTGGTTTTCGGCGGCTTCAACCATCCACCAAGCGCTTTGAATGTGCACACGTCGAGCTTGTCACGTCCGATTCAATCCCAAACTATTTGCGCAAGAACCACACCCACGCGCCCACCGTGCACACGTCGGGCTTGTCACGTCCGATTCACTCCCAAACTATGTACGGAAGAACCACACCCACGCACCCACGCCTGACCTTCGTGTTCGTGCCTCATGACCATGTATTGGTTCGCAAGGCAGAGCGGACTCCGCCACTCACTGAAGCCCCCCCAGACACCGACTTTCGGCTCGTCTCCGGGCTGGCGAAGTCGGCGTCCTCGTAAAATTGACTACCAAACCAAGTTCCCCTCCCCCTAAAATGTAATCCAAAATCAATCGTCCCACGAACATACATCAAGACATGCGAGGAAGCCTTCCAGTGTCGCACGTTGCGATCATTGCAGTAGTGTGCAAAATAGCGTTCAGATGTCAGGCCTGGTATGATTCGCCAGCCCAATCAAATGTCCAACAAGCGAAATCACCCTGTACATACAAAAAGCATGCTCGAGCTCGATGCACAACACCAAGCACACTCTTCGCATCTGAAGAAGAGGTGCAATATTCATTGCACACGTGCACCCTTCAATTTTTCTCCGTAACGCACGCGCCTTATTAGTAGCCACAACGACGTGCTGCTTTGCCAAGCAGTCTTCGGCAGAACCGTCTGCTAGTGCAACACCTGCAACCTTGCCAGCATCCATCGGCTGCGAGGTGCTGAACGTTGCAGCGGCACCTCCTCCTTTAGCCGCAGCCTCCGCCGACTTATCGTGGTTGGCGCGCGGCGAATGGTTGTCTTGGTGCAGGGTCGGGTTGTCGCCTCCGTCGATGACAGCTGATTTGCTCAAGTTCACTCCGTCCTGCCGGCCGTCTTCAAGACCATCAAAAGGCAAAACATACGGGTCTTCCCGGTCTTCCCCGTTCTTTTCGCCGCTCTGCGCCTTCTCAGCAGAAAACCAACAGCGGGGAGTGCCACGATGGCAGCGGTAGAAAGCGCCCCCGCTATGATCGGTGCAGTGCTAGGGGCCGATCCATCGCTACAAGCTGCGGCTGTGAGGCCGCCTATCGGAGAATCACTGGTTGACGATGCACCTGGTGTTGTTGTGGCGGGGAGAGATGGCGCGCCCGTAGGGCCGCCTATCGCGTCATCGCCGGGTGATTTTGTTGTGGGTGTGGCCGCGGTGGGGGTAGATGGGGCGGCTGTAGGGTCGCCTATCGGGTCACCGCCGGGTGGTGATGGTGCGGGTGTAGTTGCGATAGTGTTGAGCATAACGGCCAAGAAATCATCTGCTCCCAGGTTGGCGCCGTCTTCCCACGACCCGTCCGTGTACCCGGCCAGAATCATCTTTCCTTCAGAGCCCTCTGCAATACCGTACAGTCTGCTGGCGTCGCCTGCAGGACCCCCTGTCAACCGCAGACAACGAAACGGGGCATAATACGATAAGAAAAAAGGGCATCCTTACATCGCTGTGGGCGAGCTGACAACATCCCCAAAATATCGCTGGACGTCACAGCTGCAGTCCAACTTGGAAGTTGTTGATTGCCTTGAATTTTGGAGCGCCATGTATGACTTGCATGCGAGCAGAGCGACCCATAGTGTCATCCACCAACAGCCAAACGAACAATCAAGAGGGTCTGCAGCGCCCTGGGCACGTTGAACGGACCAGAAAACACACAGAAAGGGGTGACGCAGCCCGAGAATATGGTCGTCATGCACTGCTGCTATTAATACTCTGTCTTTCTCTACGTTCCTGTTGGTCTGCTGTTGTTATTGGTTCCGGTGGTTGGTGCAGTCCCTGGACATTTCTGACTCGCGTAGAAAGACTTGGTACGGCAAACGCGCAAGAAACGGCCCACCTGTGGCGAAAATCGTGTGCACACGGTGTTCCGCGACTCCGAAACATACCTCTACTTTTCTCTCCCAAGAAAATTGTAAAATGTTGGCAAGGCTGCCATGCCCTCCCAGAGCGGAAACGTCTATGCGCCCTCGAGAACGATATCATACGAACTTTTTTTTGGTGAATGAACATCGTCGAAAGAAACACACATCAAACCCTACCATTCCTGACATGCCAAGATACAGAACCGGCCCGCACTTAAGAACCTCTTATTTGGAGCGAGGCTCGCTTCTTGTTGGCTGCCCCAAGCCGAGCACAAGTTCTTATTTGCCAGGTTCTTATTTCGTCGTCCAGTTGTCTCCAGAAACGGTGTTCTTGTTCTTATTTCATCATCGATTGCTCAATTGGTGCACTACTCAACTGCACTCGACGCAGAGTTTCATACCCGCAAACACCCCCCCATGGGGCAACTGTCAACCGTCTTGGTCCACAAGAGTGACGTTGGGGGTGCGTACCCTTCCCGCCCTACTGACGCTCTCAAGCAAAACCCATGAGCCTACCGCCGCGTCCGGATCTCCGCTGTACTTGTCGAAGGGCAGCTTCGTATTGCGCGTACTGTGGTCTACTTCCAGCTGCACACAGTAATCGTAAAGGTGGCGCTGCGGAGATTGCTGAATGATCAACCCACCGAACCACCCCATGCCCAGCCGAACAAGCACCCCACGTTGCAAAAGAAATCTGTCAAGAGCAGCGGGGGTAGATTCTTGAAGGCGAAAGCCCGCCGGGATCTCCATTCCCTGCGTCTCGTCCTCCGGGTCGTCTGGGTCCATGCTGTCGTCCTCGTCCAAAAGAGCTAGCTCGTCGGTCTGGGATTGAGACATGTCTGCGAAGGGTACCGTGAAACACGAGAAGGAACATACGGGTGTCATCGCCGTTACTCAACTGAAGTGAACACACCATTTGTTCGTAGACGTGACGCGGAAACAGAATATCAGCAATATCCCAAACAGCACAAGAAAAGATGAACAAAAAGGACAATGAATTAACTGTAGTCTATGTAGTGCCAATCAAACTTACTGTCGTCGTCTTCATCGCTGTATCCAGCGCCCTCCATGCCCTCCCCGCTGTTGGCACCGTTGCGCTCATCCCCGACGACCGGCTCGCGCCTTCCGGCGCCCTCCTCCTCCCGCCCCTCGGGCCCATCGCTGCCGTCCTCCGAACCTCCTTCGTTCTCGCTGGAGTCTTCATCGTTTGCGAAGGTGTACGGCTGGTCCAAACCCTCCAAGGTGATTCGATCATCGCCTGAGCCGTCCACGGTCATCGCCATCCCGCACTTTTCGAAAAGGCGGTGTCGGTACCCCTGATTGCTGTTGAGTTTTGCCATGGCCGCTCCCGTCCATTGAGTGATCAGTACGCGCCGGTCAGATGCTGTCAGCGACGCGGTTTCCCACCTCTCGATGTTGTCCGACTGATCGAGCCACTTGTCCATCTCGTTACCAACTTCCACCTTGAGAAATCGTCCGGCTCCTGCATCAACTGGCTGCACCTCGTCCGTGCACTCCGCAGGGCCAAGCCAGGCGATAGTGTTGCACTGCTTCGCAAGATACCCCTTGAACTCGTCCGTGGTCTGCGCGTGCAAGTTGTCCATTATCAGAATGGACCTCGCCTTGGGGAGCTCACCCCGCCCGCGGATCAGGCCTTCGCGGTACGACCTCTTGGCCCACTCCATGCAGAACTTTTGGTCCGCCCACGCATTCTCCTGGAAAAACACGTCCACGTCCTTGTGGTACGCGGCTTTCTCCACCGGCGAAATCCGCTTCCCCTGGCCTCGGAAAATCACCGAAATCCGCATAGTCTTCTCACCCGGACCAAAGATGACTTGCATGGTGCACTGCCTTTTCTCTAGGCCAGCAAAGGGCTGCGAGATGGCTACACGCAACGCGCCTGTCTTCTCCCACGTGCTGATCAGCCCGTTCACGAATGGCAAAGGCACTTGATCCACATTCCAACGCTCCCAGAGCTGGAACTGACCGTACTTGGGATCTCTGGACTCTCCCTCCGCGACCGTCGACATCGCCGACACGTCCGATGCCTCGGGTGCCCTGTACCGTACCGGCTCTTGCAGGAGCTTGCGAAACCGCCGGTGGAAGCGCTGGATCTTTGGTAGGCGCTCTTCAACAGACTTGTTCTTGAGGTTGCTCCTGCGCCGTTTGGACAGCTTATGCCTCTTTGCCCATTTTCGTGCCCACCTGAAGGACGCGCTGAACGCCGCCGCCCGTTGGTCCTCAGGGTGATTCTCTTGCACGAGCTTCCGGAACGTGACCGTCAGCCACAGGGTCGACACCTTCAGCTTCCTCCTCCGCCGCGCCAAGAACATATTGTACAGCTTCTTCTCTTCCTCAGGAAACCACCGCTTTGGCTGCTGTTTGGCAAGGAGGGTCTTCTTCACGTCATCTGCTGCCGATTGGACTATATTGGCCTCGTCCTGAGCCCACTTCACGATCAGGCTGTAGTTAACCTTGAGACGGTCCTCTAAGTACTGGAGAGGCGTGAGCTGCTCCTCCTTGAAGAGGTCTGCGGCGTCTTCCTGGAGGAGGCGCAGCTGGGTCACAACATGGGCTTTGAACCTGAATCGTATCGCTTGCGCTTCACAGCTCCACGAGTCTCCTTGACTTTGCGGTCCGTAAAGCCGTCGCTTTCCAAGTCGAGATCGCGGAAGCGCTTCCGTTGGAGGACGAACGAAGCCGCCCCCGTCGCACCATCGACCTTCACGTGCCAACAACGTCCAGGCCCGGCTTCTCCCCACGGCTGAACATACCCTTTGGGAGTCTTCCCTAGCATCCGCTGCAGCCGCAAGCCGTTGGACATGTTTGCATTGCTGTGCTGTGTTTTCACGTGGATCCCAAGTCCTTGCTCGTTCGCGAAGGTCATGGGACAGTGAGGGCACGGTAGGCGCCGCTCCGGGGCCGGAGGTGGGAAGTTGATACCGGACACATGCTCTGTGACACCACCGCGAGTCTGCTCAATCTGCACGGCGCGGTAGGAGAAGGGCGGAACTGAGGTGCAGGTGATTCAACGAGCTGTGGACCTGAAATTACGTGGATGTCGATGGCAAAATATATCTTTCTATGCAGATGGGGCGGGGGATGATTCCATGACCGTCTCTCGTGTGTTTGGATCACGGTTGGGACGGCGCTCGTGTACGCGTTCTTTTTCGCCNCTGTCTCTTATACACATCTAGATGTGTATAAGAGACAGCGGTTGGGACGGCGCTCGTGTACGCGTTCTTTTTCGCCATTGTGTCTACTGTACCGTCCTTGCCTTCCTCAAGAACTTGAGGCAAACGGAGAATGTTTGAAAAAGTTGTACACATACATGTACGACATGCTGAAAGTCAGTCGTTTATACCAACCTGTGACAGTAGTGTTTCTCTCGCCTTTTTTCATTTCATCACCACCGCGTTTTTTTAAACAACAGCAGCAGCAGTAGCACTCCTGCTGTATTTACACTACATACAGCTGCTGGACCACCGTACGACTGCTGTATATATGTACATCATCACAGCAACATAGTTCGTCAGATGACTGAACTCACCGGTTTTCCGCTGCCACGAGCGAATGCGTTGATGATGTTGCCACCTAGAACACCTTGGGCAGCTCGATCCCTGGCTTGCTTCCCCCGATCTGCGACCTTTCTCTTCCCGGCAGCCGCAGCAGTAGCAGGCGGTGGGTGCGAAGACGGTGCACCTCGCGCGCCGCCCGCATCTTGTGGCGTTAAAAACGACGGACGGGTGCTGCTGGTAATACCCTGGGCCTCTCCATCAATCTGCGTGATCCTCNTTTCTCTTCCCGGCAGCCGCAGCAGTAGCAGGCGGTGGGTGCGAAGACGGCGCACTTCACGCGCCGCCCGCATCTTGTGGCGTTAAAAATGGCGGACGGGTGCTGCTGGTAATACCCTGGGCCTCTCCATCAATCTGCGTGATCCACTCTTCTTCGTTGAAGACACCCGTCTGCTTCAGCCCCCATNTGCGTCCCATCGCTCCTTCGCAACGGAGTTGCCCGCCTTCACATGTGCCTTTATCGTCTCGAAGTGACGGTCAAGAATCAGTCCTCGTAGTTTCAACTCCGAGAGTTTGCCAAGGTCCTTCAACAACCCATGGGATAAGGGGTTGGACAGGGACATGATCCCCCTGCACGGCGTCACGTAGGTCATCGGCTGAAGATCCGGCACCAGCTGTAACCGTCTGTCGTGAAGTCTAGAAAATTGACCAGAATTACAACATGATGAAATAATCCTAGGCGCCCCCGCCGCCGCCGACGTCGCCGCCGCCCCTCTACCTTCAGATATGCCACCCGACAGTGTTGCTGCTACTTCTGCTCCTGCTGCGTGGGGGACTCCAGTTCCAGCGGATGCTGCTGCTGCTGCTGC